ATGTCATTAATAACTGCTGGCAATCAGCCCATGTCGGGTTATGTGTCTGAACTATCGAGGTGAACAGATCGGTCATAGCTTGTGGTTTCTCAGTGTACGAGGAATTGTGGGTCTTCCAATTCAAGAGATCGGTAGTCGTGAACGGGACATATACGAAGACTGGGTCAGCATGTGCCATTTGACCTGCGGCATCGATATAGGCTGACCCAGGATTCAGACGAAGAGGCATCTGATAATGTTTTAATTGTTGGGTACCGGTCAGTTGTCGGGTTAGTATGGGGCTACGTGGAGGGGCGTCAGTTAAAGGTTCCGGTCGAGAGGTAATAGGGCATGAGGATGTGGGAACTTGATTTTGGGAAAAGTTAGTGAATAGTATACTCCGAGCCGAGCTAGAAGAAGCTTGACCGGAAGTTTGAAGTGGCGCCAAATCAGGATATTCAAATCTAATGGGGGTTGGTCCTGGTTCCGGAAGGGGAGTTTTAATACGAGGGGGGGTGGATTCTGTACTGGAGGAGGAAGCGGAAGTGGATGGGGGCAATAGGGGAAGGGGTGCAGAGCTTCCTGCATTCGCGTCACTTCCTCTTAAAGGAAAGTAAGGAGGCGGCAAAGGGATCTCGGACTCAGGGGGCGTGTCCAAAATGGGCCTAACACCAGTCCTAGTGGACAAACAAGTCCTGGCCACCATGAGGCGACATTGCTCCTCGTGGCATATCCGGATCCATTTTGGCGAGTCGTTTACGGCCTGCCCCCAACAATCAATGTATGGAAACTGTCCGTAAAGTTCAGGCCTACCTGACACAGCCACGTGTACACGCTGTACCAGGGTTGGATCCAAACTGCCACGCGGCGGCCATGCCGCAACCAAAATAGGCCACTCCCTAGTGCACAAAGTGACCAAACGTACAGGAGACATTTTAACCCCAAAATCACATGTTTTGAATCCCTTTTTAAAATTCTTTACCATACAACCTAAGGGATCCGAAATCGTTGACTCTGACGCGCCCATACTTATCAATGGAACGTCGTTGACAACGAATACTATGCACGCGTTCTTATTCAACAGTCACACCCGTTTCCTCTGGCAACAGCACCACGTGGTACAGTTACCGAGTGAAACGTACACAATAACACAATAATCACTCAGGGAATTCCCGTACACACACAGCTGTTACACCAGTCACTAAATAATCAATATTATGCCCTTTGGCGAAACTATACAGTCACCCACGCTATAATTCTCTATATATGAATTACCCGTCTATAACACACCCCAGTAACATCGTCTTTTACTAGTATCGGTTACAGTACGGTTAGCATAGGTCAAAGCACAATTTAAGGTCACAATACAATTATTAGTGGTTACGGTGTTAAACATGCAATAGACGACAATGATTAGTACTTATATACAGTGTCAGTAAATATACAGGGTTATGGTACCGTGCACTATGATACAGCAACACACTATTAACACTCTCGCTAGACGGCTGAGCTCGCGCTATCTAACAAGATATACACTTTACTAACAATCTTTAACACATTTACAATCCCAACTAAACTATTGGCCAGTACCTTGAATGGACTACCTAAAACTATATACACCCGTTTTGGTTAGCCACACTGCCCAAACACCACATATAGCGAACTAGAGGGCGAAATTTACAAAATTGCCCTTCTAGTCTATTTACTCTATCAAAAGTCTAGTGGGTTCCAAATTTACACGCCTTCCCACTTAGCCAAGATAGGTTGAGAGCTAGCGAACCGAATTTACACAGGCGCCGCTTAGTCTCCCGGTCCCTCCGACCTAGCGAACGTAATATACACCCTAGAACGCTAGTCTAGACAAGACACCGGTGTCCGGCTAGGGCTATTTACACAGGACCCCGCCTGACTAACCAGATCAAACGGTCTTACTAAAGAGCGTTCGATCGAGCGGTGCGCCTTCGCTCCTTCCCTCCGACAGAGGGGGCAGATTCCATACACAGATTTAAACCCCTTTTGGGCCTACCGCACAATCGGTATACCCCTAGTGGGTCTGCCGTCTAAAACAGCAGTTGTCTTACCTCCTCGTTCCTGAACCTGAGTTCACACTCATCGACGGGGACACCCCAGCACTTCTTACGTAGAGGCCGATGATCTCCTGGACAACAGACCAGTGGCGCCGAGACGAAGGGAGGTCCACGCAGAAGTTCAGGGGTGCAGCCGTAGAGAACGTGGGCAAAGATAGACCGTCTCACGCCTCTGCCTCTCAGCTACCGTTGAACGATGAGCTTCCCGGCCAATGCACCAAATGATACCGGAGAAACTGACGGAAGCAAAGCACAGAGGGATGGACACAGGTTTCTTCAGGAAGGAAGAGATTCTTTATTGGATCACCGATCGGGACTCAGAGGGACTAATGTCACCAAAAATACAGCAAGTTCTGAGCCCTGAACAATAGTGCAGGCTCCCTATATAGGCACATAACTCCTCCCATATTAAGCTCCACCCGCACATTCTCTTGACCAATCATTACAAATAAGAATTAACTTCCTGCTTGACCGCATGGCTTGTCCAGCACAATGGAGGAGGGGAATACTACATCCTGTATTCTTGCACATGCTCCGTACACTACTGATCGTATCTTGCCTCGTGCAACCAACTGATCGATACGTCAGCATATGCACGTACACATGCCACGTGGTAATCTCGGCCTACTAAATTTATTTTTACCGAGATTCCACCACACTTCCTCTAACTTCAGCCCGGCAGGAGGGGGGCCATGAGGGTGGGGGCACCCTCAGGGCACTATAGTGCCAGGAAAATGAGTTTGTTTTCCTGGCACTACAGTGGTCCTTTAAATCATATAGTATGGAGCAAGTCAAGAGCCAATATAACCTTTCTGGGTGTAAGGAAAGTGTATATAATCAGTAAATGGATAGCTAAAATTGGTCACTCCTGCATATACTCATTCCTCCATACATTTAGTCATCCATATGCTGTGGATCAAATCAAAGGTTTGGTTATTTGAATATCTGCCCCTGTCCAAATTATTGATATTTAATGCGTGCACGCTTCCTAAAGTAATTCACACCAGACACAAGTTTCCAGGTTGATGAAAAACTCAGGAAAGTTTAATCAGGGGGCGGGAGCCCCTTATAAAGCAGAAATACATCATATGCATAATTATAGATAACAGAGAAAATAAATCAACAATTGGTTAGGTGTTAAGTGGTTCATCTAATGCACAGCCTACAGGGTGTGATGTCACTGTCATCATGCAGTTCTCCACATTCCAGCGCCATCTTGTTAAATTGGATGGTTACTCGATGGGAGGAGGGTTAGAGGGGGAGCAGTTACTGTACACAGGAGGGGAGGGGTAACTCCTAGCAGCCAGTTTGAACGGGAGGGGTTGGAGGGGAAGCAGTTACTTTAGCAGCCAGGTGAACACAGTGAATAATGAGCACAAATGCACAGAGTAAATAGACATTTTACTAAAGTTAATATTCTGTCCACAACACAAATACCCATTGATTCCACCATGCACACAATCTGTTACCATACTTCACATCATTTCTGTTGGTAAGATTGCTTACTTGTTATTTTTCTTTCTGTAATATTCACTTAATACACATATGTCATGGTCTCATTTATCTTACAATATTTATGCAGTGCCCTTTGAGTCTTTAGGCACTGAGTTATTTTAGTGATAGTTAAAGGTTATCAGCTAGACCAGTGGTTTCCCAAACCTATCCTCAAGGCACCCCTACTAGTCCAGGATTAGGGGATTACCTGGTTGTGTCTAAGGTGTTTTTGGAAAAAAGAAAAAAAACACATTAGACACAATTGGATAATCCCTAAATCCTGGACTAGTAGGGGTGCCTTGAGGACTAGTTTGGGAACCACTGAGCTAGACTAATTAACTAAGACAGTTAATAAGCTATGATTTAACCAGTAAAGGCTGTAATACCTGTAGGAAGCCATAGTGGCCTATATTGAAAGGCCTGAACACTGATATCCTGGGGGCTTGTCTATCCAGGGAACTTATTCGTGTTTTTGAAAGACACTGAGTCTTGTCGAGATGGACCTCATTTTTGGTGAGTATGTCTTTCTTTTTTTTTCTTGCAAGTAAGATAGGGGTTCTCAATTCGTGACCAAGTGACACTTAGGGTTTGAAACATATTTTGTTTACTTTCCCTTTTGTGTTTCAAGCATTTATTAAAATGTTGGATTAAGAATTATAGTGGTCTTTTTAAGTTGGATGAAAATTAGAGGATTATAGTGCTCAGGCACAGAATACAGCTCACACAGGTGGATTCTTACAAGATAAAGTTGTTAATTAAGAATAAAAAAAATATAATCCTTGCTCAAGCTGTTGATATGTTACAGAGTCTGCGAAAACAACAATCTCCTAAATTAAAACAGGGAGGCAAATCAAGGGGTTGTGGCATATTAAAAAAAAAAAAAAAACCACTATCTTATGAGAACAAATGGCATCAGATTGTCAGTTTAACTGTCGATCTTTCTTCTACACCAAATGACTGAGAAGATGATTCGTGGTTGGAGAATAAAGATTTAAATACTGTTTCCTTGCAACATTACTTCTCTGTGCTCCCCCCACATATACACATTTGAATCCAGAATTGGCAATTGAAAATTCTAAAACTTCTGTTGTTGATGTAACCCTAGTACTCATTGTCCTAAATTTGAAAATACTGACTCCTTGGCTCAGCAGACTCCCTCCTAGGGCAGATTTGAGTGCCGTGCATTAGAGTAAGTTGGTAGACTTGAAGGCCCAGGCATCATGAGGAGCAGCCTCCAAGCAGAACGGAGAGGCATTCCTGGTGATCTTCCCGGCATCCTCTCTCTCCAAGATATGGTCTCCAAGCATCAGGAACGCATAGTGGGCCAGGGATAGATTGGGGTCGCACTCTTCGCCGTCAGCAACGGGCCAGAGCCGGGGTTGGAACTGATGTCTTGCGTTGGAGTTTTTCTGGCAGTCTCCGCAGTGAGTATGCTTACTGCTAAGCAGTGACCTGCTGACTCTGGTGGAGCTTCTGCCAAAACGTGGCAAAGATTCTGTACAGGCGAGAGCAAATGTCGGCTTGCTCCGAATATAGAACAGTGGGATTCGTGGCGTCCGCCAGCAGGGCCTCTGAGGGATAGACAAGGATAACCCCCACTGGTCCAGAAGAGGGGTCAGGGCACTGGAGGGACAACACAGGGTGTGACGAGACCAATCTCGCCACATTGCATTGGAGAAGCCTGGTTGCTCGCCTGCTGCCTTTGGACTATGGCCCCCTTTTAAAAGACTTTATTTTTGCCTGCAGAAAAGCTGTATTCGTGCTTTTCTGCCTGGGGTTCAGTAGATTTGTTTGAATATGTTATACCCCAGATAGGAATCCCATGGAGCCCATTCGTATGAAACTGACTGTAAAGACTTTGGCTCCATGGCGATTCGCTTATATTTGTGGTCGAAGCGCCCATTCACTTAATAATAATAGCTCAGACCTGAAGCTATCTGAGGATATATTGAAATATCTGTGTGTTATATTGGCAAATGTGACTTTATGTATTTTTAAAGTGTTTTGTGTCTTTTTGCAACCATATTGTAATGGAGTCTTGTGTCTGTCCTGGAGATAATTCTCAGGATGAAGACTCTGAAAACTAGTTTGAGGCCAGAAATACATGCTTCATTTAGTCACAAAGGACTTTCCCTTAACTTTTGAACACCTGGTCTGATTCGTGCCATTTTTTAATATGTTGTTCCCCTGAATGGATTGATTGTGAATATGTAATTTTATATGAATGTGATGTATGGTTTTAGAGTTATGAAAGTTGGGTAGAAAGTATGTTTTAACTGTATGTATAATTGGGTTTCCTCTCAGGATAAGGGGAGGGAATATGTGGGATGTAACTGTGATGTGATTGGTTGTTTTATACCTCCCTGTGGGCGGTCCTGTATTTGCAAGACTGTAATAAAAACCAGGCTGGGTGTGCCAGCACCTCAGACCACTGCTTGACCCTCAACACGGAGCCTTGTCTCGTTCTTGTGGGGATTCACTGTATGCTGTTAGAGACTGATTGCCAGGAGTGTAAGCTGATTGTCTGCTTTTCCTGTTCATCTGCTAGCAGCTATTTGGGAGGTTCCAGTTTGGGAGTTGGAGTGCTATTTTGTATCCAGTTCGTGAGTTTGGTGTTCTGCAGTAGCTGTGCCTGTATCTCTGGAAGGGGCTTGATCATTTCGCTTGGTTTTACCCCTTATTGTGCAAAGCGGTCCGTTACAGTGGTGTAGCGTGGGATCATTCCTACAGCCAGAAGGACAGCTACAGGAGACACCATTCCGTGGATTTTACAATTTGAGGGCAACGCATGTCTCAGTACAGCGACCCTGACAACAACAGAATGGAACCAGCAGTGGAGTACAGATACTCTGTACAGGAATTTGACCGTATGATGTGGTTGCGGCTGAACTTCTTCGGACCTAATCCAGCTGAGAAATCCATGAAGTTCGTGAGGAGTCTAGTATTCAAGACTCTGCTGTACCGGGCAGAGGGTGACGGTCAGCTGCCACGGTGGGTGGACCTCCACCGGCAGCTACAGTTGCGGGA